TAAATTGCTTTAAATTAAATTTTCTGAATTTTATTTTTGGATATTTATTATTGTCATATTTTGCAACTTTTTGCATTCATAATTATTTTGGTATTTATATTTCGACAATAATTTTCCCTTTGTTTCTGATCGTTTTCCTTTTTTTATAGCAAATTTAATAACAAATAGTAGGAAATGCTTCAATAATTATAATCTCATATAATTATAGTTAATCTTATAAAAAGTTAAGCATATTTTTGCTATTAATTAAATTTAATTAATTTAAAGCTAAAGTAGTTCATATAACTTATATGAATGAAATTGTTATTACCTTTAAAGGTTTATGATACATTTAAAGTTCAGTAGCTTCAAAAGTATTCTCTTAATTAGAAATTAATGCTATTATATTTACTTCCGAAAGTATTCATTACATTAAAAAACTTCGATGCTTACTTTTTTGTCAAACAAATTTTAATTTTAAAAAATGTAAAGCAAATGTTGAAGAAAGGAATAACTTAAAGCAGTAGGTTTTTTCGTTTTTCAGATTTATCTTCATTTCCTTACGTCACGTCAAATCACGTAATTACAAATTTATCACGTAATTACAAATTCATCACGTAACTACAAATTCATCAATGGGATTTATCGTTTTATTATTAAAGGTGTTGATATTTTAGTAGATTAAAAATTAAAAAAAAATCATCAATTAAATCATCATCAATTAGGTATAATGGATTTTTCTTCATTTCCTTACGTCACGTCAAATCACGTAATTATAAATTCATCACGTAATTGCAAATTCATCAATGCGATTTATCGTTTTTGTTATCAAAGGTGCTGATATTTTAGTAGATTACTTATTTGTAAAGAATTCAATTAAAATCATTATCAATTAAGTATAATATTATACGTAGAATAAAACATTGCTTTTATGATATAATTAATCTTTTATGATATGATGTGATTAATTTTGTGATATATCACATGTATAGGTGACGTAATTAATTTAATTTCTTTAAAATACTAAATTTTAATTTGACAAAGATAAAAAATAAATGAAAACTTGCATTATATACCTTTTCTATAATATAATCTAATTTATATTATATCATTTAATATACATGAAATTTTCTTAATTTATCGTTAGATATCGATTGATATGAAATGATTCTGTTATCGAGTTATCTTATTAATGCAATATGACCTATTTTTATAATATAACCTAATTTATACGCTATATATTTCATTTGCATAGAATTCTATCGAACTCATTTCACTTGCATTAAAACCACGTAATTCACTTTTCTTTATTCATATGACCTTAATTCGAGTCATCTAACCTGATTTATCGTATTGTTATCAAATGTGTTGATATTTTCTTTCCTGCCATAGCATCAACAATTTTAATCAATAACAGCACTTCTATCGTGTCTTATTATTATATCTTATTATTGATATCCGTTTATAAATTGATATTAATTAATGATAATTAAGTTTAATTGAATTTTTCAAACTTTTTTATTCTTCCCTTTCTTATTTATGATTAAGTTTGTTAATTGAAATGCTAAATGAAAATGACTGAATGAACCAATTAATTTCGGCTAATTTTCTTTTTGTTAAAAATATTATATAGAATAAGTTTGTAAACCGATAGTTACAGATAAGTTTTATACTTCAGATTTATATTCATTTAGATTGTTTAATTGCTATTTAAAATGATTCGGAACTTTCTCTAATCGATATTTCGGATCAATAATCATATTAGCTTGTAAGAAATTAGAAGAACCGATAACTTCTTATTGTTGACAGCTCTGTGTAAGATATTTTTTAAATATACGCTTAGTAAACTTATTCATAATTTTATAGGATTTTTCTTTATGTATTTGGAAAAAATTGAATTCGCAAAGAATTACGATTTCAGTATTTCGTATGAAAGAGTAATTGATTGATAATAGTTAGAAAAAGAAACGGTAATTTCTTATTGTTGACAGCTCTGTGCATGATATTTTCAAATATACGCTTAGCAAATTTATTCATAATTCGTCTTTATGTATATGGAAAAAATTGAAGGAAATTAAATTCGCAAAAAATTACGATTTCAATATTTCGTACTGAGCAATTGATTGATAATAGTAATAGCAAATTTTAATAATATTGAACATATCAATTTTATAAAATATAGAAATTTGTGAAAACTCAATGTTTTATAGATATATATTTTTTTTATTCTGCCCTTCTTTTGTTTAATTGAAAATTTAGCAAAATTAATTAATAATTCATCCAATTCTGATACTAATAGTTTAACAAAATTAATTATTAATTCATCCAATTCTAATACTAATAATTTAACAAAATTTACTAATAGTTCATCCAATTCCGATCTTATCTAATCATTCATTTCAAATGTTATTTTATCGTTATGTTTCTCATTCCATACAAACTAATTATATTTAACAATTCCGTTTCGGAAGATAAGATACCAGTTTTATGAATGCAAAAAATTATTTCCATCATATGCGATATTGTTTTTTTCCATCATATATGATGATTGATGTTGTTATATTCATTTCAAATATTTGTTTTACATACAAAAAAATTTTAATCTGAAATTTTTGTTAATAGTTGTAAATTTTTTTTTGTCCACATTATTTTCATAATTAATGAATTTGCTAAACAATAAACATACAGTAGCAATTATTGGAAACTTATTATTGTCATTGAAAATATTTTCGTTTTTTTTTTAAAAAGTGATTATTTATTTATAAAAATAATAATTTATGCTACTATGTTGAAAATTTTTCATTGAAATTTATGATCAAATTTAATTTTTGTTGTAATTCCTAAATTTTTGTCATCTATAGCCATAAAAATTTTCTTAATTAATCAAATTAATTAAATTAATTTTTTCTTTTTAATAACAAACAATTTTAACAGGTAAAGAATGAAATTATATTTTGATAAACGTTGTTCATTTGATAAGAAAGAACGATACATACTATTCATTTGAAAAAAAAAAGAAAAAAAGAGACAAATTAGATCAAATTTTTCAATAAACTTTAACCTTTTAACCTTTTTAATTAACTTTTATTTTTTTAACAACAGATCTTTAAATTTACTTTTAATTTTCTAAAAAAATTATTTTTCCGGCTGTTTTTCTTCTTCTTTTGCAACAAAGAAAAAGGAAATATGGAAATATAACGAGAAGAATGACAAATAATTTTGGCGATATTATCCATTCTTGTTTTTAAATTTCAATTTTGTTTGTTTTCATGAAATTGTGTCAACTCAAATCCATTTATCCAATAAAATTTGCAATGATTTGAAAGATTTTTGTACATTCCATTTTTCTTCTTCCTTTAATTCTATCATTTCCTAATTTCTCTTTCTTTTTTTTTAACGATAGATTGATTATTCATCCATAAAATGATAAGATATTTATGAAATAAGTGATATGATAAGAATATACTTAATGGCAAATGTAATGGATAATTCAATTTGAGTTGATTATTTATCCATAAAATGTTAAGATAAGATATTTGTAAAACAAGTGATATGACAGGATAATACTTAAATAATATTTAATGGTAAGTAAAATGGATAGTTCATTTCGAGTAGATTATTCATTCATCAAATGATAAGATAAGATATTTATAAAACAAGTGATATGGCAGGATAATACTTAATGGTAAATAAAATAGATAGTTCAATTCGAGTTGATTACTCATCCATAAAATGATAAGATATTTGTAAAAAAAGTGATATGACAAGATAATACTTAATTGCAAATAAAAGGGATAGTACAATTTAAGTTCGAATAATTGTTATATTAATATGAAAAAATTAATTTATAAAAGATGAAACAAATAATTATTTATTTGATCATTTCCTTTGTTTAATAAAATTGTTGTTGAAGAATTTGTGACAAAACGATTTCATTTTGATATATTTGATAACATTATTTAATTAATTTAAAACTGTTTTAATTTAGTATCGAATTTTTTTTTAAAAATAATTATGATATTTTATTGTCTTTCATTATTATCAACTTGTTAGTGGCAATTTTTCATAGAAAATTTCCGAGAAAAATTAGGGACAAAAAATTTTTATCAATGTTTTGCTGTAAATAAGATAATACATTTTCTCATAAGATTATCATAAATGAGGATTTATCAATATTTTATGAGTAATTTATATTGTTACAATAATTATCACTATCATTGTTGCTACTGTTACTAACATGTTATCATCATTGTGGTTTTTAAATAAGATTGTCACAACTAATTTACAATATTATAATTTATCATAAATAAGAATTTATCAATATTTTATGAGTAATTATTATTACAATAACTATTATTATCATTGCTGTTGCTATTATTAACATAAATCATAAAATATTGATAAATTATATCATTGTGATTTTTAATTATGACAACTAATATACAATTTAGTTTAATTGCGACAACTAATTTACAATATCATAATTTATCAACAAATAAGGGTTTATCAATATTTATAATAATTATTACTGACTATTATTATCATTGCTGTTGCTACTATTAACATGTTATCATCATTGTGATTTTTAAATAAGATTATGACAACTAATTTACAATGTCATAATTTTTGTGTATCATTATTGCTATATATGAATAAGTATTTTATGATATACGGAGAGCAACTTTGATAAATTTTTATTTATGATAACCTCATGAAAAAAAATGTAACATGTCATCTACAATGTAATACAACATAAAAATTTTTCCTTCGCTAGTTTTTCCTGAAAGTATCTATAATGAATTGATTTGGAAAGTACATATGATAATGATAAATATGTGATAAGATCACTTTGAAAAAGGAATCTAAAAATATGACAAGAAATTTCTTAAAACTAGCAAAATTTAACATTTACTTATTTGTCTTAGCACTCCACAATTGATAAATAAAAATTTTGATTTTTATGTAACAATTATCAATAATATTGTTACGACAATTGCGTTTAGAAGCGATTTATGAATGATATGAAATCGTCGACATATTTTACACCATCACCAATAACGGAAGATGAAATAATTGGTGCTGAAAAAATTCGGTTAGCATTTTCAAACAATTTTTAATTAGTTTAATTAAAATATATTGTCAAAATTTTACTACTAATTATTAACATTTCGCTATTTACATATACAGGTATTGCATATATTTGAATTTAATTTCATTATTGCACACTTCCAATGAAATAACATTGATGTATCCGTTTTTAAATTCAAATATACATTGATCTATATAGTTTTAATTTTACCGGTTGATATTATTACAAGTATTTTTCTTTTGGCACCAAAAAAAAAATATTTTGTTTTAAAATTACTACTTATAATAAAAGTGATATAATTATTTGAAAGATATAATTAATGATAAATGAAATATTAGCATAATTAAGAATATCCTATTTATTAAAAGTAAGGGTAATGCATACAGTATTATGTTATCCTACACAATAAATACAGTATTACCGTTTGAAATTATTTCACGTTCACGGTAAATATTGTAGAACATAAACTTCTTTCATGTACATGTAGAACATTTGTACATGTATGAAGTAAACATGAAGAGAAGAAATTTAAATAAGGTAAAAAAGACTGCATTTTTATACGAATTTTTTCCAAGCATACGGTATATATTATCGATACGGTAAAAAGTATAAATTCAACGTATATTTATATATTACTTATAGGGAAATAATTGATGATATTCCTGATTTACTTAATACAACATATTATTTGGCACGTTGGTGGCGTGCTTATAACGGCGATTTGGAACGTATTAAACGAAATATGAAAGATTTATTTGATCATCGACGAACATTTGCATATGATGATATCGAAACACATTTATTACAAACAAAATTAGAAATTCCTAAAAAAACATTTGAAGTATTTCAAAAATTAGAAATCCTTTATTTTTAGTAAATAAGATTAACAGAAAAGATAAGATTATATCGATGTACTATTTTTTTTTATTTGTTTCTCCTTTTTTACGACGTTTTGATAAAATTTGAAATTTTTTAAATCGTAAATTTTATCAATAATTAATCAATCATCACCTGTTTCAATTTTACTTTCTCTTTCATCTTTTCTTGTCATTCTTCCACTTCTTACACTATTATTCTATTTTTTAAGATATGCTGATAAGCTGATAATTTTTCATTTCTTTCTAAGTTGAGTTATTATAAGTTTCAGCGTTTTTGCATCTCAAAAATAGCGTTGTATAGAAACATCAACAATGTATATGTGTTCTTTCAACGAATGGTTACAAATGATATCGATGAGGTATGCATTAATTTAATTTTGATTTTTGAATTCGTATTATTTTCATTTCTTTAATTAGCATCATTTCTATTTTTCGAATCATTATTATTATCATCTTTTGAATTATTATCAATTTTTCATTTTTAGAATTTTGAATTATTTAATATTGCAATTTTTAAATTGTTATCATTTCTATTTTTGATTTGCTATCAATTTTATTTTTAATTTAGCACTATTTCCAATTCTTGGATTAGTTCCATCTTTCAGGTTTAAATTCTAAATTTATTAAAATTACCAATTTTTGATTGTTATCATTTTTATTCTTTGAATTATCATCATTTCCATTATTAATTTTTCATCACTTGTATTCCTAAATTAGTATTATTTCCATTTTTTTTTTTTTTGAAATTAGTATATTCAGATTCTTGAATTAACATTTATCAAAATTTCAGATATGTCGAGTGGTACCATTCAGTCATGTTCTTCATTCCTATTTTATAATGCAAGAAGCATTTACTCGAGCTCAATTAGAGGCGGAAAAAGCAACGGGTAAACCAGCCGTTGTTGTTAGTATTCTTGATCTTTCGGAAATAAATACGACAGCTTTATTGAATCCGCTAAGTGTTTCCGCACATTTTGTACGATTGATTGTGAAAATATGGGCTGATTACTTTGTTGAAACGGTAAAAGCATTTTAAAATATTATTTGCTATTTATTAAAAATAATATTTGAAAAATTAAATGACAAAAATAATTTATTAATTTTATTTGTTTTAATTTCCTTTTAACAAAGATAAGAATTAAAAATTTTTTTTTTTTCAAATATAAACAATATTTGCCTAATTTGAATTGCCTAATTGTTTAATCATTTCATAGAACAATAGAAAGAATTTAAAAATTAAATTTGAATTTAAATTATTGAAAGAAATATGATATAATGTTTGTTTGCAGCAAGCGAAATTATTTCTTGTTAATTCACCAGCATTATTAAGCATAATGGGACAAATTGTTAAACTTTTGGTTGATAAAACAACCCAATCACGATTACAATTTCTAAATCAACCAACTGATTTAATGAAACATTTAAATCCTTATGTAAGCTATTTAATCTTTCAATTCAGGAAAATATATATCAGGAATAATTTGATCAAATTTCATGATATAGGAGAAACATTTCACAATCAATGAATTGACTTTAAATTGCCAAATTAGCAACTATTAAAATACCACACCTATGAGGAAATTAATTTTGAAACAACAATTTGCATATTAAACTGCATAATAAATTTGCAGGCAATAATTTTACAAGTTAGCCAAGTTTTATTACTAACACCAAATTTGCATCTAATCTGTTGTTCATCAAAAAGTTTCCCTTCTATGATTAATTTAATTTGATTTGATATGAATTAATTTAATCAAATTTGTTCACTGTTAATTTACGTGATATATACGATGAATAATTATATGATTGAAACAAATATGTGCAATAATCTTCCGGAAAAATATGATTCATATATCAAATTCAAATTTCCTGATATAGATTATGTCCATTATTCAAAATATTACGTTAGAAGTTATAATCCGGAATAATTTACCAGATTGTTTAACAATCCGGTAATATTATACCATATATCAATATATTTACATACCATGTTTGTTATTTCTACAACACAAAATAATATTAAGAAATTGATAATCGTAACCTAAAAAAAAAGAAACAACCAGCTTTTTTTGTTTATATATAAACTTTTGTAATCGAAAATTTCGATTTTTCACACAGTTAGTACCAGCAATATATGGTGGAGAATGGTGTGATAATAGTGGATATGCGGAAAAACCGGAATTAGTATGTCAAAAACCGATAAAAATAGAACCGGAGCACTATTATAATTGTGATTTACTTTGGCAAAAATATGGTTTTCCAAATGTTCCACCGAAATGTTCGAAGATAATCAAACGAAAGCAAACATTTGAAATTAAAAAGTAAGTTGATATTTGGGAGAGAGATTAAAAGAAAATAAAGTTAATTTTTATTGATGCAAAAACAAAAGAAAATTAATGAAGGTTAAAATTTATGAGATAATTAATTAAAACGGAAATTTTAAAAACAACTTTTGTTTTTTTTTTTTTCCACCATCATTGAAAATTTAACAATGAAAAAGATCTGTTGTTTTAATTTTTTCTTCATTTCTATTTACAGTGTATACTTTTTCAGAATTTGTACAACAGATTCACAAATATTACTATGGCATTTTATAGCAAGTACTGATGTTGAATTTTCGATAGTAAAAATTGAAATGGATAATGAACAAATCGTATGGCCTAAAATAACGCTTACAAGTTTACGAACACCTGAACAAGGTTCAATTATTTGTAAACATAATAGCAAATACATATTACGTTTTACAAATCCGGGTAAATTTTTGGTACCTGTACGATTACAATATGCAATAGAATTATGTTCCATTCCATAATATAAATATTTTGAGAAATGAAATATTCAAATTTAAATTCTCATTTATTTTCTTCTGTTCAATTAATAATATATGCAACTAATTGAAATAATTATTTGTTTATATCATAATTATTATATTGTATAGTATATATTATCCATAATTATATTGTATGGGATGAAAAACAAAAAGAAAATTAATTTTAATTATTTACACAAAAAAAAAACAAAGAGACAAATTTTGGATGAATTATTTAAAGTTTGTCATTTTTGTAAAGCTACTAAATAATCTCAATTGTTTTTACTCATTTATTTGTTTACTCTAATTAAACAAGAAATAAATTCAACTTTTTAAAATTTTTGTTTCATTAATTTTAAGAATGTCGCCATATTATCTGTCAAAAAAAAAAATGTTTGTCCCTTCATCAATTAATTATTCTTTATTAATTTCAGAAATTTTATATCATTACTATTATTATTATTATTGCGAAAGAAATGTTAAAGATTTGATAAAAATTTATTTTAATTGTATCCGTTATATTGGATTGAAATTTGTAAGAAAATTTTGTTTAAAAATTATTAAATTAGGAGAAACAATTAGTTCGCAAATTTTCTCACTTCGAAGTTTCAATTTCGATAGTTGGAAAGGAGATGCGAAAGGAAAGGAAAAACATTAATGTATCAGAAAAGGATATGAAGGCAATTCTTGTTTTTGATCACATACTCTTTTCCAGATCATATATTATTTTCGAATATATTTCAAGATATTTTTTTAAAGTTCTAATTTCATACCTTAATGATTCATAGGTAGAGATAACTTTTATGAAATTTACACATCTTAATTAAGTTCATTCAAATCAGTTTTGATTTTATATATTTTACTAAAGTGCAACTTGTTTCAACGATAAATTGAATAAGTGAATTGAGAGACAAAAGAGATTTAACCATTATGGAGGACTGTTAACAAATGACTGATATGCAATGTATAAAAGAATTGAAGACTTGATTTCATGATTTTATCAACAAATGGTACATGTACTATCTTCAAATACTTACATACAACAAAGAAAGTATTAAGAATGTACCAAATTGTCAAAACACAAAAAAACGACTATCAAAATACAAAGTTTTAACAAACACAGTGATCGAACTCGGAAGACAATCAAAAGATGAGGCCAAGAAAAATATCTGTATTCTATTCCAAACAATTCTCATCAGAAACAAAACTCAGGAAACCTGAAATCGTAAAAACAATTGCATCACCGTTCAAGCAAATCATTTAATCACTAGAGTATGGCAATACTTCATTTTTATTTTGATGACTCAATGATGCACTGATACCATGCCGTTTATCCTGTTTTTTGGTCTTGCGACGAAGATATTTTTCTAATTTTTTTCCTCCTTTCAGTTCATCGTACTTTTTACGCCATATGATTTCCCGAATTTGTGCTACAAATATCAAAATAGATATTAGATCAGATGCATTTAGTTGCAAGTACCATTTTTTTTGAACTATTTTAAAATAAGAAATGATTATCTGAATTGTGAAAATTTCTCGAAAAAATGCAAAGAAAATGAAATGTTTAAATTAGTTCATTATAAATTTAAGAAGTCAACTCTTTTACCATAAAGAAAGGACAAAAAAATCCTAATCAAAAGCACAATGTGAACCGAAATATTAGAAGATTTCATTTTATGCACAAACCTCTTGTCTTAAAGACGGGTGGTAAACCTTGAAGCATGCGTTCATTGTTCTCATGACGTATTTCACGGATTATTTCTTTACGACGATTAACCTCCGCTTGTGTTCTGCAAATCAAATTTTAAATTTATTTCTCATAAAAAGCTCAAATAAAATTGAGGAAAATAATATGGATAAAAATAATAGCAAAAAGTGATTATAATCATTAACAATGACAACGATAGTATTCAGGAAAAATTGAAATTCTAATAATTTCTACCAATTCATTTTTTTTCACCAACGCCGCTAATCAATTGGACCAATTCATAAGATCATCAAAACTTTAGAAATAAATTTGTGTAAATTTACTTCTCCTGATTTTCCATTTTCCTGAGTGCCTCTTTCAATCGGTTTCTGTTAACATTTCCCTCTTCTGTCGCATTTTTCAATTCTCTCATTAATATCTGAAAAAATTTCTATGCCTAAAACCGCATAAAGATTTAGGGATATAGAACCTGAAATATCAAAAACCTAACTTCCAATCAACTTTCCATATATCATTAATGCAAACAATCCATTATTAAAACAATGCGTAAGTTATTTCACGACAACAAGTGAACAGAAATAATTGATTGCATAAATAAAATAACATATACGACGGCATACCTTTTTCTCTCGATGACGTATTTCATTAAGAAAATCATAATTATTGTGGTATATATAACTATTAAACTCTCCACATCTGTCATCGAATCGAGGATCAGATCTACAACAAAATTATAGACTTAAAATTGAATCTCAAATGATTTAATGCCAAAATGACTGCCTTTTATGTGTTCTTCATTCCTAGCAGAAATGTAATAAAATTCAAGATTAATCTTAACTTACCAAAGTACAACGTTTTCATCAAAAAATAGTTGATATTATTGATTGCAAATTTTGTTATTCTTATTCCAAATATAATCGCTCAATATTTAAAGAATTAAAGCAAGAGAAAATACGAAACAAATTTGCTAAGTCAAAAAAAAAGCATTTTAAGCAGATACAAGATGGCATACTTACATTGGTCGTTTTAATTTCTCATTCTCGAACACATTTCTAAATTTAGATACCGGTATTTTCGACGATACTTCACGCGGTCTTTTTGGATTTTCACGCTGTAAATCAAATAACTGTATTTCCACATGTAAATGAACAAAAATAAAATGATCGGAAAAAATCCATTATTTAAGATGTCTTCATGGGTAAGACAGAAAATTACTAGGTTACTTAGTAATTAAAACATTTGACACTATTTGCAATTAGCTCTGATCATCATACCCTATAGTAAATCATATTCTGCTATAACAGAGTAGGCTAGAACAAATTCTTAGCATGAACTATATTGGGAACCAATCAGGAACACTGAGATTTTTTAGCAAAATTTAAAATAAATAACCACAAATGTCCTTCGAACCGATTTCTTGTTAGGAGGAGGTGATGAGTCTTCAATGAAGAATGCCCTGTCGAACAGTTTCTTTCCTAGTCGTTCCTGTACCTGTTTTGCTTTGCCTAATGGAATCTTTGCTATTTCTGAAATGAGAAAAACATATTGCTACTTTCAGAAATACAAAAACATAAATTATAAAGTAATCTTAAAATTCACGTAATAAAATAATCTTGCAATTATAAAAATAACACGATAATGTATGGAAATAAATGAATGGTTTGGAAACCTTTTTAAAAGAAATACCTTCACGAAATCCTGTACTGTCTAAATTTGCTTCTCCATCCTCATGAACTGGCAAAGTCACTACGTTGTGAGTTGACTTCCTAGGTCCTACAAGTCCCACTTTCTTCTCTTCTGAGGAATGCTTATCAGGATCCTGTGCTACGTTACTAAAAAATAGGTCATATTAGAAAATGAAAATGAATAAAAATTTAAAAGTACAGTTTGCGTCTAACTTTCCAAGAGGGCTTCCTTTTCTTTATGATATCATCCAGCAGATTTCTTCACCTCTGTCCATACCTGGATTAAAAATGAATCCATTCTCCTATACCTTATTATAGGCTGAAATTACGATGTCGTCCGAATTTCTCCAATTCCATACTCTCTATATCCAGTGCACTATACTATTGAAAAAGTTCTGATACAGTACTCCGTCCTTTAAAAATTTAATTTTAGTTACACCAAATAGGATTAAATTTCTGTGAAACACGAAAAGGAAACTTATTTAATTCAGGAACACCGAAAATTATTTTCAACATCTGATATTCTGCAATAGCAATAGAGTCGTATCACTGAACGATTACAATATGAAGAAATGACCAACTTTATGGAAGCAAATTTGTCATCTTTCACTTCCATTCCAGACTTTCGAACACTATTGGGACTGATGTTACTTTTCCTCTCACCCGATATGCTTGATAACCGTTTCTTCTGACGGCCTAAACGATTTCCTTCCAACAATCGCCTTTTATCGCTGGTTCTAAATAACAAAAGATCCATGCCTTCAAGATTTCAAGACGCTATTAACATTCGCATAGTGTAACAAGGTTCGTCAGAAGTTTCCCAGGAAACATCACATATCCCTCATCTAACATAATTAAGGCTCCTGATCGATTGCATAAAAAATTTTTACATGAGATGTGACTAATTATCACTGAAATATTCCGAAAACTCAGTCAATGACATTCCAAATGGAATACTTCAGAATTCAATATGTGACATAAAGTAACATAAAGTAAGAGAGGCGATTGGTATACCAAATAATTACATAAGTTTATTGTATCAATTCTAGTTTTGAAACAGAGGTTAACGTTAATCCTGAAACTTGCTTCGAATTAATACTATTCATTGTTTCTCAAACGAGAACATTCAATTTCTACATGAGATCTGATTAATTTATCCTTGAAATGACACTTACTGGTCATCATCAGAAATCCACGTAACAGATTCACCATTTTCCATCGTGACGTAAGTGTTTAAGTTATGTTCATGAGTAGGTAATAATTCCACGAACTGTTTTGCCGCATTTTTTTCGACAGAAACTGCCTGCTTTTCTTCTTTCATTGTTCTCTTATTCCTGCATAATTTAGCTTAATGCATTATAAATTTCTTCTTTAACTGCCATTAATATAGAATAACTTAAAAAAATATCATATGAATCATAATTATTTTATTTCGGTAAATGGTTCTCCTCTGATACACCAATCAATCAATTAATCTACAAATTAAACTATTGGATAGGCTGAAATAAATAATTATACAGTGTCAGTATCATAATTTCCCTCTACCTACAGAGAAGAAAATGCATTTCGAATGAAGTTTATACTCAAGAAACATAACATGCCAAATGCTTAAATAAATCTCTGATATTCTGGTCAAGTAATAGCACGGATCGATTTCAAACTTTCTATCCATAGTGCTATCAGTACATTGTAGAAATCATTTGCACTGTTTTTATAAATTGACTACAAAATGTTAATTTACAAAAAAATTTTGCAAAAAAAATATTAGCTAAGAAAATCACCTTTATCTGCATAATTCATCATTAATTTTTAAAAAGATTAAAAATTACCTTTTGTAAATTTTTAAGTAAGCTTTATAATTGATTACCGTTAACTCATGTTAAGTATCAAACTTTACTTTAATAAATTAATTATTATATTGCTCATTGTGACAGTAAGCTATTTAATTGATGAAAAATTCCAACAGTTACTTAGGCCGTCGTTTTAATTTCATTTCAATTTCATCGCTATTGCTATCATCGCCATAACTCTCATTGAAAATGGACTGAGCATATTTCTGATAAACTCTCTTCCGTCTTCCCTTTTTCGGTTTCGAAAGATTGTTCATTACTGTTTTCTTTGGAAATGTTCGTTGCATATTCAAATTTTCCTCCTCCATTTATTGTACTTTCGTCCTTTTCCTAAATGAAAATAAAACAAAGAGAGATCGCATTCATAACTGAAAACTTGAATATTACGTATGCAAATCTAGAAGGCAAAAAAAACCAAAACTTTGACACTATCGTAAAATATATTTTAAAGAATATTTACTGAAATTAATTTTCTTCATTAATTTTTCACGATCTTCTTCACGAGTCATAGGTCATATGGACTTTAGAATATGAATTTAGTAAGAAATAATTATCTAACATTCTTATGGATTAAAAATCACCTAGCAGAAAAATTCTTTTCAAAAAAAACCTTTGCATATGTATCACTATAATTTCAAAATTCAAATTACTCAGTGATCTTAAAATATTAAAAAATCGTGAAAGGGAATTAAAACAATTCTTTTTTAAGCAAAGAAAAATTATTTCAAATATGGAAATTGTATTTTGAAAAGAATATCATAGAATTAAAAATTGAAAACTATCCATAATCTTGCAAATATAACTTATTATGGAATTACGTCCTGCAAATATAGCTTGCAAAATATAACTTATTATGGAATTACGTTACCGTACTCGTTTTACGGAGTAAATAAAAACTGTCAGTAATAGTTGATAGTGCAGAAAAAGTCAAATTATCCATCATTTGAATATCAGATAAATCACAAAATACCATAGGGACCATTCTTTTTCTGAGGAATTGTTCATAACTATCATAATTATTAAAAAGAATCAAAAAGTTTTCAAAACAAATAAGGAAGATTGTGAAGAAATGAACTGTCAGAAGGAAGGAAACAAACATTGCCATCAAACCATATGCTTTATTTACAATTTCTATTTACAGATTTGCAAAATTAAAAAAATTGTAATTAATATTTATACGATTAAATTTCATTTTTAATAATGAGACTGAGTTATCAAGCACTGCAAGAAGCAAAAAGGAAAACTATACACATAATTATACAGCATCATGAAAATAGGCTATCATTTATGTAACATATTAAATTCGATGGAAGCTATAATGAATAATGAGATATTAAGCTTTGAAAAAAATAAAGAATACTAACTATGCAACTACACTTAATAATGACTTTGTAATTTTTTTTTTTCAGTTTTATTTACATTTAAATGAGAATTTTTAATTACTAATACTTCCTTAAAAGGAAATTAGCTGCAATGAAAGTCAGAAATTACAGGTGGTATATTACAAACGCTACGGTATATGTATTCTTAATTTGAATTAAAGTTAAAGTGATAATGAAACAAAATTCTTTGTATATCTTTTTTACAAATGAATAAATGAAAAATGAGATGATATTTTGTTTCATTTTAGAAGGGTGAAATTAAATGTACGAAAGAAGAAAAAATGCACAGGAAGTTCTTAGTTTTTATAAAATCTGTGCAATATCATACAACAGGTTTATCAATGGTACATCACCATTTTTGTATATCTGCTGCTATATCTTAGCAACACAAGCGTTTGTTAAAATAAAGTTTAGATAAGGTAATTAAACTACTTCAATATCAAAGACAAAACATGAAAACATAGCTATCAAAGCACAATGAAAACTTCTGAAAAGTAAAAAGCACAAAAAATACACATGCAAAAAAAAAATTAGCATACGAAATACAATAGCTTTCTTATACAGTGAGCAAGTGGCGATTAAAACAAACATACAACCCGTTGCCGAAATTTCGGATCTTCGATTTCAAATTTGTTTCATTTCTAAAAAGACTTAAACAGTCGTGCTGCTCATCGAATAAATAAGTCGAGAAATGTCACCAAAATCTAACCTGAAGTAGTCCCCACATATTCGAAGATTTTGAAATAACAAAACATTATCTTGAAAGATTTTATTTTAACTTCGAGAAACTTACAAAACCACCACTTCAGTAACAACCAGAAAATCCCAAAAACATCAATTTGTCAAAAAAAATTTCTCCACCGCGATAATACGAATATCCTTTCAAAGCTGGGTCGTAGAGAAAAAAGGTAGCAAGAAGAAATGAACTTTTGAAATTCATTAAATGCAAAAAAATTTCAAATAAAAAAAAATATAATGTAGCTTGTTTCAAACATCTAGAATATGATGTGACAATCCTGGAGGTGGTAATTCACTTCCAGTCAGCTCCTGCTGTAGCTGTTCATCTTCACTTCGGGGTGAAAGCGAAGCTTGAAGAGGTGAAATCGTACTTTGAGCTGGTACACCCCAAACATTTCCTGCTGCTTCCGTCGTTGTATCGCTTGAACATCGTACTGCCGTTTCACTTACTGTTGGTGTTGCATTTGTAGAAATTTCGGCGATCTGCGCTACATGCTGACATGCCGTCGTTTTCAACGGAGAGGACAACATTTCAAGACGATGACCATCGCACTGAGCATGTAAACTACGCAGATATGCAATACTTAAAGAGGCTGTTTGTGACGTAATGACCATATCAGTTATATGATTTTTTCCTAAAACGGAACATGTATTTATTGCATGATCTTTAACCTAACACTTGAAAAAAAACTGATCGACAACTACCAGTTCCTATAATTCGCATCTTTCAGTAATGCCACATCTCCCTGTCAGATACTTTAAAAAAAGAAACGTAACTGTTAATCACTGCGCAAATACATGCACTACCTTTACTATCTTTACCTTTTACTACCTCTGGCAGTTAAAATTTGTCTCATTAATGATTAAAAAACAGAAATCACTTATCTAACTTACTTTGACCATGTAAAGACATATTCATTGTTGCACCAAACAAATCAAGATCATGCAAGGATGCAACAAATGGCTGTCGGCCTATAAAATTTCTAAGCTGCTGTTCAGCAATGGGGTGAAAAGAATGTAAACTATTCAGCAGTATGTTATCATCCACGACACCTTCTTTCAATGTATTCATGTCTTGCGCCATCTGAAATTTCACAGAAAAATTTTTGCTTTAATCTTTTGTTATTAAGAATTGTTTCTGGAACATCCAAAACCGAAAACAAAAGCATACGCGGTCTCGTATATCGTCAAGAAAACGAGTAGCACTAGGTGGTGGTTTCCACTCTGGAAAATGACTAGCAAAATGCACCAGTGACAACTCCGTTTTTCCATCATTAGCATGAACTCTTCCATGTATATTCGCAATTTCTGGAAATAAAAATAATTGTTATTAAGCGATATCGAAAGGAACATACATGAGCAAAGCCAATTATTCAACATTTAGCACCGTTTAGAAATATCAGTCCTAGCAAATTAAAAAATCAGACGGTTACAAATTAATGACAAATGCTTGAAATTAATAATGCAAGAGGTTTAAGATATGAAATTCACCTTCCTTAGTAAGTACATCAAAACTCCAATTTGGGTCGCCATGCTGCTTGATATCCATCTGCGCGAACGAGCAAACATCACCAAGGCCTTCCACAGAAACCGTAAAATTGTGGAAAAAATCCACAAGCTCTTTCGCTTTGGGACGAATCCTGGGAAGGTATAACAAGGAGTGATATATCACGACAAGAAAAACATGTACTGATTTTAAAACATGAAATATAGAAGTGAAAAGATATGTGAAAAAATGAACTGCTAAAAAACCTTTCCTTTCATCTTGAAATTTCCGAGAAACAATTTTTTTATATCGTTTGCTCTCCTACCACAATATAGCTTTTATTGAAAACTTACCAAAAGAGTAGAATAAATGGAGTTAAAATTGGACTCAGAAGTTCCTCAAGTAAAAATTTCGCTTTCAGCTCAAACAAATGCCCAAATTCTTTTCGAACCGTATCTGAAATAAACGTTCATTTTCTTTGTTTTAGACTTTCGTCAAATTTTTATACTTATGAAGCAAATGAAGCATCATTATCAAGCTTAAAATTCTAAATTTTAGGACGCCAAATCTTCCGAAAATGAAAAGGTAGAAACTCCAAAAGTTGCAACATTGACCTATTGCTTAATGTTATTAGAACCAAACGATAAAGTTATTTCTTAAATGAGCCAGTCTCTGGACAAAAATTTTGCAATTTGTAAAACCTATCCTTATAAACCAGCTTTCCGAAATCTAAATTATTAATCCAAATTATTGTGAAATGTCTTGAATCTGTAAGAAATTCATTCAATGGCCTATAAAACACATCAATTCTCATTTATACTGTCACTGGCCTTCTTCATCCACCAACAGACTATCAAAAGTACGGAAATTATAAACAAAAATAGGACGATCAAGGTTTTTCAATTATAACCATTTCTTTTCAGAGTAACATAACATTTTATGATGGCGAAAAACGTTTCACTTAAAAAACAGCGTTACCTGTGTGGGCTTTCCCTCTCCATGAATCCGGTGCATAATGTATATGTGCTATCACCATATCCAGCAGTGTTTCAGGCCAGTAAATCATATTTTCATCTCCAATGAACGACTGGCATGCAACAGCAACCAAACCGCATGTGGATATAATCGTGAGAATGTGTTCAACCTAGAAACGCGTTCAACTTACGCAATATACCGTTTATTTCATCGTGTTAAGCTGTTTTTTTTTAATCCGTAAGCTTGAAATTATATACGGTACTACTTTCATGGTCAGCAGTATTCGGTAGCTTCTTAAATTACAATGTGTGCAACTTGGGACATATATCACCCTTGACAAGGTAAAATCTTTCTCTAAGGTTAGGCTCCTTCGATTGCTTCCTGCCCACATGACTCTTTTTATTCCAGTCTTAAAACTAATTTTTTTCAAATCTTTCACTTAAAGTGTGAATCACTTTTTTAAATGAATAAATGAGACAACAAAACGAAAAGAACCGCTCTTCTTAAATAAAAAGAATTAAAATGACTAAAATTATGTATTAAACTAACCGACAACACATCTTCATCCCACAGAGTTAGCAAAAGCAACACTATGCAGATAGCACCTGCAACAAATTGCACTTTTCTAGCGATAACCTGCCCAAGAGGTGAAAGAAACTGCTCCATATATTGTGTTGCTGCTCGATGACTTTTTGAAAGACGCATTCGCAATTCGTGGTCTAATTCGTTAAAATGTCGCAATTTATTCCTAAAATGCACCGATCCTTTATTATTATGTAATTGTTGCTACAAGCTACTAAATGTTAATGGTACAAACTACAAACTTTTTTTCAAATCCATCATATCAATTAAATTCGAAATGAACAATGAAGAAAATTACCTTCCAAAGTTTGAATACCTACGCATAGCAAAGGAACCCGGATCTCGTTTTAGCAGCTCACCATAAGTAAAAAAGAAATATAGAACTTGATAAACGAATATAAGTGGGAAAAAAATAAAATTGCCAACAGCCATTTTCAGTATTGCCGAATCTAATTCATCTGCTGCAAAATGAGAGCTATATTAACAATGCTGGATGTCGAGAAATACTTGCTCTACATTCAACATTCCAGATTGCATTTGGATTTTATTTTTTCACAAAATAAAATTTCGAACTCTATTCTTGCTGATGATCTCAGATAATTTTAAAACAATGAGAAAAGCAATTTCAATGACAGCCGAATCTACAACGAAGGAGGAGTTTATAATACTGAATTTCTAAATAAAAGTTAAGACAAACAAAGAAAGTTCTTGATATATCAGTATTCCATTTATTATCATGTTTAATACTCTTACCAAGCCTAAAAACATTCTGTGGATGTTTGTACTCTTCCTTAAGTTCATACGGTCCCTTCCATGGTGACCACATTCCATAAAACAACAACCATTCCAAATTCATTTTCAAACCGTTCGGTAAATATGGCATTGAACCAATGAAAGGCACATTAATTATGGGTGGCAGTATTTCCTTGTTAACAAGGGCAACAAAATAATTCTGAAATTCGAAAATGGGAAAAAAATTTTTCTTAAACATTACATAGTTACCTTATTGTTTATCACAGAATTATTCAACTGATACTACATCAAGAGGAAAGAAAGTAAGAAAAGAATAAAAATTTGCCACCTTATGTCTCAAAATACGTTGGTAAAGGTCCAAAGCGGTAATTCCATCCTTGTTTAAAATTAAATGTATAGATGGCTGTTTCTCGCATATAAGCTGTACAACTTCTTGCCACTTGAGGTCGCGCAATAATGCATCCTCAATCCCTTCAAAATCATTAATGAAAATTTTTTCATCTAATAAAACAAGAAAAATTAAAAACAAATGAGTTAGCAAGGTAGTTTAGGATTAGTAAGCAATAGTGAAACTTCAAAAAGGTAAATATATATTTATGAGCAATTTATTAATCATGAATATTACTAATCGAAATGAAATTCTGCAAACTGAAGATAAAACGTGAATGTCTTTTTTACATCATTTCTTTCTTTTTGATTGTAGGAAAATAAACGTACGATTATTTTCTTGCAATAAAAAGAGAAAAGATGAGAAATTTTAGGAGAAAACCAATAAATCTTACCCAGTGCTGAATGATAGAAAGTACGTATTTCACCAAACTGATAAATTTGATAAAAAACCCGTGTAGCTCGAAAAATCCAAAAGAAAACGGCAAAAACCAACAAACATAATGTCAAGCCATCTACATGACTCCAATCCGGATATATGACATCCTGGTTACAAAAGAAACAATAAATACTTTCAATTTGGAAATCATTTCAAGAAATCCAAGCAAAACATGACATCCCACAATTTCTCATATTCATCAAAGTTCACTTAAATTATTCTTTTCGCGAAGAAGGTTTGATAGCAAGCATCAGTAAAAATTCATCTGCGGTAGGTGAGGAAAACTAATTCTTCCAGTGACCTGTTTAAATCTTGACGAGTCCCAAATAAGCAAAATCTCATAAAAGAATTCAAACCTAATTAAATTCATCAAATTCTTCTCAAAATCATTTATCTAATACTCTTTTAAGAAACACGTAAATTTTGAGAGATACTAAGCCTTTTCTCCATTTCCATGTTGCGTTTTAAACCTAACAGGGTAACTGAATCAAAAATGAGGAGGAAGATAAGTAAAAACAGAGTCTAAAGAGAACAAAATGGTGGAACGATAACAGAATTATACAAACTTATCATTCTTATGAAATTATCTTCAAAAATTAAATACAAAAAGAAAGGGAAAGACTTACTTCAAGCCGAATTTTTCCACCAACTGGCTTTCCCTCTGCGGAGATATTTTTATTCTTGAACAAAACGTCGTAATCCACGCGTGCTTGCAAGAAAGTGACAAACCAAACGACAAATATAAATTGAAGTAAGGTAAGAATATGCTTAATGACTATGCAAAGATATCCACCATTTTGATGATATTCGTAAACTCGAGTGAAAAACTGCAAAACAAAGATATCCAGTTTTAAAATTCATCATCTCATTATACTTCTTCCTTAGAGACAACATTCGAAATATCTGGCAAATATCAATTTAATTTTCTTTTTATCCTAAAGCTATTCTAATCTTCAAAGACTAAAAAGAAAAGAAAGGAAGAAAGATTATTCACATTACCAAAACATGTGTATCCCGAGAAATGCATACGGATTTTTCATTTTTGTGAGAAAGGGCAAAACAATCTAATGGTACTGCAAAAGACTAAGTACATCGTAACCTTTAGATGAAATCTTGGGAGGATCAATTAAGTGGAAGACGTAAAACTTCTGTTTTGCGATTATTATACATTTATGACCAGGTGTTTAGCATTTCAAACGTATTACCCATAGGATTATCCAGTATAAAGTATGTATTGGTAGAGACGGTAAACTGAACGTTGTATGTACGAGGATTTTTTTGAATTTCGTTTAAATCACTGCTTATATTACTACATATTCAAATGTTGCCATCCACTCCATCCCACAAAACCCAAGATGCTTTCAATATGCTTTAACCTTCCAGATTTTGAAACGTGTAAAAGTGGAGAAAATAATATAAATGGTTGGTTTAAACGAAAAAAAAAAGATTATCTCGTTATTGACAATCTTGTTCTAGTACGGCGAAACGAAAGCAACTTGAAGATAATTTATATGATATACCTGGTCTAAATTCTCCACTCCATCCCACAAAACACCAAAACTCGTAGCAGCATAACATGCGACGGTTCTATCTACTTCATTCGTTGCGATATCATGTTCCAATGGCGGACCACCATACACATCCGACGGTCCATCATCTTCCCTGTATAAACAAAACTTCAAGCAACTAAACTGAAAATATAATTTACCGAATATTTAGTTGCAAGAAGCAACAACGACATTGTCACTAATCAATATTTGATCATGAATTTCGCAATTTCTTACAGTTTCGTATTTTGATGCATTTAGAATCTTTCTTCAATTCGAAGAAATTCAGATCATAGAAAATTAATTACTGCATAGTTATATCTGATGACAAAAATATAGCAATATAAAAGAGAAAAAAACTTACGGTATTGTTCTTTCAGGAATTAGTAGCGTTTGCTCATTGTTGTTAGGATATATTCGGGATGGAGTACTTTCATCTTCAATACTTTGATAACCTATCCTAGAGCGAAACCCAAACATCTACGATAACATTAGCCTGGATTAATAATACCATAAAGTGATAATCATAATTTAAGCTTTTCAATAATTTTCAATAACTACGCGATGAATTATCAATCGATATATCAAATTCCATTGTAATTGTTTTGCTAATAAATAACTTTTCTCTTAAAAATTCATTCAATTTCACTATATCCATTCAAAAAGCCTTTATAACAACTAAACTTTGAAACAAATGAATCGGATTAAATGATTCAATTGATTTGATTTAAAGATTAATCGATACCAATCATTCTATGACAGAATAATATGATTATGCAATACTAAAGTAAAACAATATCTGCTAGTGTATTATAATTAAAATGAAATAATTAAAAAAAAAATAAAGTAATCAAAATTAGAAAACGATAATCAAAAAGAAATAAATGATGCGAAAAATAAAAACAAACAGTATTTCAATAAGATAAATAGAGCAAAAAAAGCTTGATAGACAAAGTAATGTTTTAATCAGTAAATGTTAAATATATCAATTAAATGTATAAATGAAAGATCAATGATAAGAATACGATAACAAAATGACATGAGAGATGCAGTAAAATGATTAGAAACAAATATATTTACATATATGTGTATATGAACAAAAATATAAACCAAAATATTGGAAAATAAAAAACAAAAAAATAAAAGAAATTTAAAAAAAGAAGTAATCAAAGATTAAAGAGAAAACTAAGTAATCCTGCTCAAACAATACGAATAAAATTTTTGACCTAAAAAAATTACGAAACGAATGAGTTATAAACATATATATATGTAAAACATAGTATGGTAATGTGGAAAAAGTGTTTTAATTATTACGTTTAACTAGAATTAATTAGTATTATAAAGAATTGATCAATTTTTTGAGGGAGAATTTCAAAAATATTAGGATAAAAGGTAAATGCCAAAAAGGATCAATAATAACTCATCTTCCCAAAGTTATCATCACACAATTTGACCTCAACCAAAGACGTCATAAAACGTACACTTCTCATCTTCTCATCCTTCATCTCTCATCTCATCAATCTCACTTAATTTTCAATGAGAACATTATGCAAATCTAATTTTCCCATAGTACATTTTATGGTATATACGTCTATACGTGTGTTTAAGTATTTACATACGTACGTGTATATATGTAAGTAAATGGATTACATTTCCTTTTTCTGTTTATAAATAGGCCCTAAGAATTAATACGCTTAAATTTTATTTATTGTGATGTAGGTGAAAGATTAAAAAGCCATTAACAATTTGTTGATTACAACAAGCGGATGTTAATGTGAATTGATCATCAAATTGTAATGCAAATAATTACGTGAAATTTCGGATATTGACGTACGTATATGAATGGATATATATAAGGAAAGAAAGACGTATGCACGTATGATGTATACGTATATATAAGAAAAAAAAGATGTATGTATATATGAAACTAAAGCAAATGCAACGAAGTATTAAACGTAATAATTTACGACCTTAAAACAATTGCCACATTTATTTATTTTCTTCTAACATATATTACACTGGTTTCAATATGATCGATATAAAAATTTAAAAGTGAAATATTTGAAATTAAAAGATTTATTGATTCTTTTTCTCCTCATTAAATTCCCAAAGAAAAATTTTTCATTTAACACGGATTTTAAACTGTCACTTATTGGCTGGCACCATTGTAAATTTCAATTTTTCATCCGATTGTTTTTGTTTGAGCTGAAAGAATGTAATATTATATCATAGGAATTTTTGTGATTGGATACTATTAGAAAAGGATAAAATATCTTCTCTATCAAAATAGAAACGTTAAAATGCTCTTAATTTGACTTCCTATATAATTTGACCTCTTGTCAAATTTCAACTTTTAATTCATGCTAAATACTAAAAATTGATTGTTAATTTAATTAAATTTGACCTCCTATATAATTTGACTTCTTGTCAAATTTTAACCATTTACCTATGCTAAATACTAAAAATTTTTGATTGCTGATTAAATTAAATTTGACCTCCCTATATATATATAATTTGACCTCTTGTCAAATTTCAACTTTTAATCTATGCTAAATACTTAAAATTTTTAATTGTTAATTAAATTAACCAATCTAAATTTAATTTCATTTTTGAACAAAACTCTATCTAATTTTATTTCCCGAAAAATTCTTTTTCATTCTATCAATTTTTCAAAAAATTCAAAAATTTGACAAATTTTTTTTTTTCAAATAAAAAAATTATCATTAGCAAAAAATTTCTCAGCACGATCAGCACGATATCTAACATTTTCTACGACATTTGTCAATTTATAACAACAACAACAACAACAACAACAACAACAACAACAACAACAAAAATTATAACAACAACAACAACAACAACAACAAAAAGAAAAATTTGAAAAAAATAAAATCCATTCAATTATTTCATACCTTTTTCTTTCCAATTCGATAACAATAAATATAACATATGTTTTGTTTTTATTTGTGGATTATAACACTAAGCTGGCATTTTGTTGAAATGATGGATTGAATTGAATTGATCTGTTTAAATATGCTGAAAATTCAACATTACTACAACTGAATTGCCGCAAAATTTATATGCATCATTTCGTTTCTCAATATTTTGCAATAAATACATTTTAATTGGCCAAAAAAAAAATGAAATTTTGAAATATAATAACCGAAAAAAAATAACTCTTTCTTTTTCAATTTTTGAAAACAATAAAATTTAACAAAATTTTGAATAAATTATTATAAAATAAAAAAAAAAATAAGTTATTATAAATAAATGAAACCCTTCTGTTTAGAATATAAAAATTTATCACCCAGTGATACCACTACAAATCCAACTTCATTCTAGATAATGGGGATGGATAATACCGGGCACCATTATCGTTTACTCCTCTGTTCTCTTTTTAAAT